ACCGTGTTGCATTTTCCCTTGCAGCTAGTCGCTGCTGCGTTGGGGCAGAGGTGTCAGTTGTGTCACAGCAAACACAATATCCAGCTCTTTAGTCCTGGCCTAACTTGCCACCATTATACTCTTTTTCTCACGCTGATATACTTGAGAAGCTTTCTTAAGAAACTTTTTTATTTTAACATATTTGGCAGGTGATGTTTTGAAGGAATAAGGGCTTCTGAGCCCTTGAAAATGTGATCTAACCCATTTCTCTTACGTGCTCTGGACTTGCTAGTGGAGGCTGAAAAGCAGCACTTTTTAAGTCGGTGGGTGCGGGTGGTGCTGTGAAGGTCTCTGTGGCAGGGAAGCTGTTTGAGAGCCTTGGTAAATGAACGCCGGTCGTTCGTGGAAATCGGTGACGCTTCCAGGAATAACTTACTCCTAACACTGGTAACCCTCTTGTCGAGCCAAGACTAGATGGGCGATGTCCTTTCCACAGAGCTCTTTGCCTCTGCTGCAGAAGTAAAGGACAGCAGGCTCCGAGCGCAGGAGTGGTCCTGGTGACCCAGGCTGCCTTCAGAGCCAACCCTGCTTTGAGCTTCAGGCTGGGCTGGGCGACCTCCCGGGGCCCCTTCTGACCTGAACTATTCCGTGCTCCTCTGATCTGTTGCATTTTAACTGAAAAGTTCATGGCACCTACTGTGGAAAGTGCTATCAAGTGGCAGTAGTTTGTCCTTCACTCAGCAAGTTTGGCCAGGAACCAACCGTGTTTCCATCGTAGACCCTTCAAGGAGAAGGCGAGGCCGTTCTAATGACTGGATCTGACGAGCTGTCATCATGCGGGCGCAGTGCGGAGCTCACAGAACGGGCAGCAAATGATCACAGGCAGCCAGAGAGGCATTACAGGTCAGAAAATTCTCCCTGCCCCTATCCTAAATCTGCAGCAGAGGATACGCGTTAAGAGCAGGCTGGAAAAGGCGTTCTGTGTTGCTGACATGAATCTCATGTTGTGTGTGCTGGTCGCAAGATCTGGGGGCTGAAGTCACAAGAAAATGGCAGGTCAGTCTTGCCTAATGAATCCTGAACAGAGCAGTGTCTGGGAGCAAAGCAGCAGGAGAAGAGACTGTTATCCTAGAGCTTTGTACTTGGCATGGAGAAAGGGAATTATTTTTTCCCTGCCTGCCTCTGTCTTTCTTCAGAGGTGCATCCATTACTCTCATCAGCACTGGCTGGTACTGCAGGCACTAAGCGTGGCTGAAAATAAGATTGTCCATGACGGAGGAGAGCCGTAACCTGCCTCATTCTTGGGAAACTGCAAAGATTCTGCTCCTCTGGTTCGGCAGCGCCCTGCAGTCAGTGCGTGCGCTCGGTCTGCTCCGACTGCCCTGATTGTGTCCCTCTGGCTGATGAGGGACCTGCACCAGCACGTACAGCTCGGAATTGCTGATGCCCAATGGATTCCCCCCCTCCCACCCGCTGAACTTTTAGCTTGACGATTCAGCAGACAGAAGCAGTTGTTTTGTACTGTCTACCCCATGAGAAAGACAGGGTTGGAGCCATGGAAGAACTGAGTAAGGGGTGTGATTAAAGACTTGCTAATGATTAGGAAATGTCTTGGAGAACCATGG